CAAGATATCTTGATAAACAAAATGTTTTTTTATACAACAACTTAATTTTCGACCGATCGTTCCTATGGCAGCTATATGATATAGTGGTCCGATCTTAATAGGATTTTGTATATGTATGAGGAGCATAGTAAAACTAATAAATGCCGAGTTTGGTCAAGATGTCTTTAAAAACAAAATGTTTTTTCATACAAAAAACTTAATTTTCGACCGATCGTTCCTATGGCAGCTATATGATATAGTGGTCCGATTTTAATAGGATTTTGCATATATATGAGGAGTAAAGTAAAACTAATAAATGCCGAGTTTGGTCAAGATATCTTGAAAAACAAAATGTTTTTTCATACAAAAACTTAATTTTCGACCGATCGTTCCTATGGCAGCTATATGATATAGTGGTCCGATCCAGCTGGTTTTCACATTTGCCGCAGCAACAGAAAGACGGACTTCTGCAAAATTTCATTAAGATAGCTTAAAAAATGAGAGACTAGTTCGCATAGAAACAGACAGACGGACAGACGGACATGGCTCTATCGACTCGGCGGTTGATGCTGATCAAGAATATATATACTTTATGGGGTCGGAGATGTCTCCTTCTATGCGTTACACATTTCACGACAAAATTATAATACACTCTGCAAGGGTGTAAAAAGAGAAAATATAACAAGAGATTCTAGTCGGGAGCTCTCGACTAGGGGATACCCTGAACCCTCTTCTTCCAACATCAAATGCATATATATTCTATTTTAGAAGGTTTATGTCAAAATTGCCCAAAAAACAGGATATCGATATCGATTTTTTTCGATTGCTTGGAAGTAAGTTATCGATTATCGGAAACAAATTCGATCTGCGCAGGCACTAGAAGCATCTACATCTAAAATTTAAAGTCTCTAGCTCTTATAGGTTCTGAGATACTTGCGTTTATACATACGGACAGACGGACAGACGGACGGACGGACGGACAGACCGACGGACATGGCTAGATCGACTCGGCTATTGATGCTGATCAAGAATATATACTTTATGGGGTCGGAGATGCTTCCTTCGGCCTGTAACATACATTTGGATTTTGCACAAATACAATATACCCTTATACCCATTTTTAATGGGTTCAGGGTATAAAAAGGAAAAAAAAACTTTGTAATTTTTCAATAAGAGACCACAAAACTAAATTAGCTGCTTGCAGGGAACGAGAGCGCATGCAAATTTCACAGAAATCAAAAACGCAAAATGTATAAATAATAATAAAAATAATAAAGAATAAGAAGAAGACGCAGCAGCAGCAGAGGAGGAGGCAGGTCTATATACCAAGCCTAAAAAGTCGTTGCAGAGCCGCGTGTGACTTATGACTGAAGCGGAGACTGGACTTTGACTTTGGGATCTGGAGATTGCGACCGTCCCAGGGACTGGGCCTGTTCCTGTGCCTGCGCCTGGCATCGTGTGTCTCGTTTCGTTTTGGCCCATGTGCAGACAGTTGCGAAATTATATTTGCGCAGCGTCATGCAGCACCATTGTGTTAAGGAACTGGCGTCCGAGCAGGGACCGAGCCAGGCAAAACGACTCCGCGGCCGATTTGTCAGTGCAGACGAATAGTTTAACTGGTCCGAATGCTTTTTGGTACACTCAGCGAAAAAAAGGGGCGAAAAACAAATTAAAGGCAACATAGCGGGCTTCAATCGAGGCTGCAAACCCGGTTTGAACCGAGCTAGTTCGAACCCGAAAACATATTTTCAGCCTTAAGCCAAAGTCTGAAAAAACAGCTGACTAAAATCCGAACCATAATGTTTTTCAAGGCTGCAAACTAAATGTTCTTTGGGGAAACTCAAAGCAAGGTTTGAACCAATATTCCTTGAGGAACCTCAAACCCAAGGCTTGAACCAATATTCCTTGAGGAAAGTCAAACCCAAGGTTTAAGCCAATATTTGACTTTAAGAATGTAGAAAACCAGGTTCACGAATCGAACGCCATGACAGAAAGTTAATCCGAAACGCCGGTCAACCGGAACCGGTTCAAACCTATAATTTCTTGATCCTTACAGCAAAGCAGTTGGTTCAAAAGCCAAGCGCAATGAAATTAAAAATGGGTAAAATGAATGTGATTAACTCAGTTTACAAGCCACATCTTGATTGATTGATACGGATAATCAGCTTTACGAACCGACATTGGTTCAATTCGTGAACCAAACGAACTACATTTCTTCTGCTCTAAAATCTATCATGATTGAGACTTAATTTTAGAATATTAACTAGCTCTCTAAAAGGAAAACGCTGCATATCAATTGGCATGGCGATTTTCGCTGAGTGTACTTGCTTTTGCAGGTTGTTTTAGGCGTGCACTGTGAGAGGCTGCCCTAGTCCCTGGCCAGACTACATCATCGTCATCGTGCTATTCAAACAAATGATTTACAAAATGTTAAATGAATTATGCATTCTGCATATGCGACTCGGCCATTTCGTGCCATTTTTCATATAAGCTCCAAGTGGGGAACCTGTGCCTTAGCCTCGCAATTCGCAACTCGGACTTGAACTTGGTGTTGGCTTTAATAAATTGGCGTGGGGTGCGCCTCCAGCAATTGTTGTTGTTGTTGCTGTTGTTTTTTCTCTTGGCCATTTGTGTCTGTGGCTAAGCACTGGGAATTCTATGCTGACTCGAACGAATGTCAATGCCTAAGCAAACATAGCGCTGCTGTTGCCAAAGACCTTTATAATCAAGTCATATAAATTGAGTGCATTTTTCATAATAAATGAAGGGAATTGTCTAAATTATGTTCCTCACTGATATGGCCTGCATCGATGTGCGTGTGGGTTTGGAAAGAGACTCCGCTTGAAGGAAAGGCAAATAGGCTAGTCATATCGTAGATCAAGTCAGGTGCTGATTAAAGCATATCAAAAGTTGTCATGACATAGAAATAATGTAAGCAAGAGGTTCTAGTCGGGAGCTCCCGACAAGGGAGTACCCTGAACCCTTATTCCAACGCCAAAATGCAGTTCGCGCAACGCGCTCGTTTGAAGTAATAAAGATAAATTAAGAAAAAAAAAAGTTCCCTTGGCAGGGTTCAAACTTGCAAATAACCATATTACTTGCTGACTACTCTACTCAACAGACAAACCAGCAAAAAAAAAAAACAACAAGTAAAGAGTTCTAGTCGGGAGCTCCCGATTAGGGGATACCCTGAACTCTCTTCTTCCAACATCAAATGCATATACATATATATTCTACTTTAGAAGCTAGATGTCAAGTATGGTGACTCTAGCTCTTATTATTTACCAAAATTACCCAAAAACAGGATATCGATATCGATTTTTATCGATTACTTGGAAACGGAGTAAGTTATCGATTATCGGAAACAGACTCGATCTGCGCAGGCACTAGGAGGACATCTAAAATTTCAAGTCTCTAGCTCTTATAGGTTCTGAGGTCCTTGCGTTCATACATACGGACGGACGGACGGACGGACGGACGGACGGACGGACAGACAGACGGACATGGCTAGATCGACTCGGCTATTGATGCAGATCAAGAATATATATACTTTATGGGGTCGGAGATGCTTCCTTCTACCTGTTACATACATTTGGATTTTGCAAAAATACAGTATGCCCTTATACCCATTTTTAATGGGTTCAGGGTATAAACAGAGAAATTCACTCACTTGAAATACCAAGAAACCCAATTATAGATTGCCCAATTGTAGACATTGCAACATTACCTGTAAGACTATCAAAAATGTTTCTAAGAACACACACACACACTCTCTCTCTCTCTCTTCCTCTGTCTCGCTCTCTTTCTGTCTATCGTAAATTATAAACATATCGAGCGGCACATCGTTATAAAATCTAGGCAAGGAATACAATCAAAATCAAGAAGCAAGTCAATGTCTGAATGTGTCTTCATTAAGCAGGTAAAATATGTAGATGTGCCTTAAAACAATATTTGCTCACTTTTGGCCCAATGCATTGTAGAAATTTCTGTTTAGTTAGCAATCAAAGCCACTCAATAGATGGGGGCAATGCTGCTGCAACAGTTGCAACAAGTGCAACACCCCCAGAGCTCCAACATAATGTCTATGCTGGCTGTCAGGGCTGATGATGTAAACAGCGCTGCATATTTAGTATGTGTGAAGAAAATGAATGTGCAACACGGGGCAGTGGCAACGATCGCAATCCGAGACTAACAGTAGCCAGGGGCTGGGCTGCTTGCCTAATTATGCTAGGAGAGCTGCCACTACCTCTCTTTACCTCCTTCAATACCCTGTAACTAGAGACGGGGAGTATTGCCTAGCCATTGCTAGAAACCTTCATCATTTAATCCAAGTCCATAAATATCGATTTTCAGCCTTGGCATTTGATATAACTACCTCTCTTTTCCTTCCTACTATGTAACCAGGGACAGGGAATATTGTCTAGCTAGGTTATCAAATAATAGACGCAATCGTTAGAAAACTTCCTTATATACTCAGTCGATAAATATCGATTTTCAGCCTTGGCATTTGTAACATATCCTAAAGACTCGATATGTTGCTTTTCATAAGGTAACATCGATAACTTCTTTCATGGGTACAAAAAATTGATAAAAATCGATTATTGATTAATCAGAAATTGCCAGATATGAACTGTATTTGCCCACATACTCTACATAATTGCAAATACCTCATCGGGAACTGTGTTTAGGGTATATGTTAGCTGGACATTCTAAACTGTATAACTTTTACTTGTCCTCTCTACATCTCTGTCGAGCACTTGAGCCTTCAGCAAGACCCTTAGCCTGCACTAAAACTGATTTATGCGCTATGCAGGGCCAGACTTGAAGGCGGCTGCGAACTGCCTCTTCCTCTGTCTGCTAAAAGTTTCAAGTATTTTGTGGCGAGTTTTCGTAAAGGTGCAAACAGCCCACCGAACATAAATATCAAAATGCATTGCATTGTTTTTCAGTTCGTGTGCAATAAAACAAATTATGCCTTGATTTTTATAAGCTGAACTTTATGTTCATATAGAAAATATATGGAATATATATATATGGAAGATGTTGTGCTGTATCCTTTCTCTGTGTGTGTGTGTTTTTTACATTATTTTACTGAAAGCTGGGCGCGATTAGATTTAGCTGTTGTTGCAGTCGCAGATTGAACTGTTTAAGGATCTCCTCCCGTTTTATAAGGCGCTTCGGCGTATTGAACTGCATTTCCGAATTGTATAGCATTTGCACCTTTGCTGCAATATCTTGTTCCAGCTCCGGTTTCAGCTGGACGCCTCTTTGGTAGTAGTCAGTACAAGCTCGCAGCGCACGCTCGGCGAGTCGGGCCACATGTATCTCATAGGTGATCGGCTGCGTGTCCGTATCCACTTCGGGTAGCTTCAGATCGTCATCATCTTCCGGCTGGGTGCGTCGATAGAAACGCTCGCTGGGCTGATAGCTGCAGATGCTGAAAACGCTGCTGCTGCTGCTGCTTTTCCGACTATCTCCACTTGGCAGCGAATTGCAGCTGATATTGTTGGAGCTGCCTTCCTTTGTGGCATTGGCCCAGACAGCTGCCTGCAGCTTGGCCTGCAGCTGGAGGTCATCGTCGCTTAGACTTATGTCCAGCAATTCATCCTCGTTGTCGAAGACAATCGCTTTGCCCTTGAAATCCTTGGGCACTTCTAGCAGGGCCTCATCCAGGTCGTATATTTTGAGGGCGCGCTTCTTTTTCTTTGACAAATCGCTCAGCTCATCGCCGCTGGGATATTGAACTCCTTTCTCCTCGCTGGCTATGCTTGTCTGGGAGCATTCCTTGGACAACTTACTTTTCGTGGATCTCCTACTCACTGGCATTTCCACATAGCACTCCCCCACAGCCGCCACATCGTCAGCCTCATTGTCAGCAATATCCTCTTCCATTTCCTGAATTGTGGGCGTCATGTCTAGCTCCAATTCGAAGCTGTCGCTTGGCTCGCTGTAGATGATCTGTATGGGGCTGCTCGCACGATCCTGATATGTCTTGGGCGCACTCTGCATAGATCGTGTAGTGCTAATTAGGGAACTGTCTGAAGTCGCACCTTTGCTGCTTAAATAGTAATCATCGATGCTACCTTTTTCATCCGCATACAGCAGAGAGCTATCAATAGCCTCAAGAGGGGTTATCTCAACATTCTTGGTGCATTTTTCGCTGGGACAACATGAATTCGTTGGGGATTGAAGCGCCTCGTGACTTTTATTGAAGCTCTTCCCAGATTTTTTGAGCTTATATGGAGTTCGCCGCGACTTGGGCTCATCAATCGGCTTCGAGCAGTCGGTATCGCTTTGCTCACAGGGAACACATCTCTTTTTATATATCTGCGACTTGCGCTCTTCAACGTCCCGAATCTCTTTTAATTCCTTGTATTTATCCGCTTTTTGTTTAGCTATACTTAGCTGAAATTTCCGCTCTTCAGTAGATTTTAAGGAGCTCGGACTATCTGCTTTAATTTGTTCACTGTAAACACTTTTCCGAGAACTGCGCTCATCAACCCGTCTTGAAGAATCTATAGAATCATTCTCTTTTGAGTCCTTGCTATGATCAGCTTTTCCTTTGGCTATACTTCGCCGCGATTTTCGCTCTTTAGTAGGTTTTAAGGAATTCATTGAACTATCTGCTTCAATTTGTTCACTATTAAAACTTTCTCGACAGCTGCGCTCATCAACCCGCATGGAAGCATCTAAAGAAACATTTGCTTTTAGTTCCTTACTATGGGAAGCATTTCGATCAGCTATATTTCGCCGGGATTTCCGCTCTTCAGTAGGTTTTATGGAACTCTTTGAACCATCTACTTTAATTTGTTCACTTTCCCGAGAATTGCGCTCTTCAACGCGCTTGAAAGAACAAATGGAAGCATTCTCTTTCAATTCCTTGCTATGATCAGCTTGTCCTTTAACTGCACTTCCTTGGGAATTCCGCTCCTCAGTAGGTCTTAGTAACTTCCTTGAATTATTTAAGTTCTCGCTTTCATCGAACTCAAAATCGGAGTTATCTTGATGACGACCATTAACAATAAATTTAAATGGAGTTTTCTTTAATTTTTTCGAAGAACAAATTCTATTGCCGGTTGGCTTAATATGATATATATCACAATGTTCAAATTGCAGCACTTCTGTTTTTCCGGTCTCGTTATCATTTGACTTTGAACTCTTTTGTGTAAATTCAAGAGTACAAGCTTTGCTGCTGCGCACTTCAGATGGTTCAGTTTCATGTGTTTTCTGGTCTTTGGATTGTCTATCTCCTTGCTCACTCAAAGAGTCCTTTACATCCCCGTGTGATTGTTGGCTGCCAATAGCTGGCTGATCTTTATCAGAAGCCTCTGCCAGCTCACTCATGTACTCGTCAATATAGATTTTATAGCCACTGCGTGATTCTTGCTGATAACGAGCTATGACATCCAATTGTTCTTGAATTAAATGTTGATAATCCTCTTCGGTAAAATAATTATCATTCACTGATGATTGGAAGTATTCCGAATCCTTGTCGCTTTCGTTTGAACCCTCCGTTGAGTACTCATTGGGAATATGGGGCTGACCCAAGTACTCTACCCAACGCGCTGTACGTTGTCCGGATTTGGATCTCATATAGTGTTCTCTTTTCTTTTCTTCCTTACGCTTAGATTCTTTATTTGTATATACTCTGTATATCTGCTCGGCTTTCTCCTGTCGCGCTCGTGACTCCTCGTAGATTTCGCTATAGATTTGACTAAAAGTTTTCGACTCTTCAGTCGACGACTGCGATAATTGACTTATATCCGTGTCAGATTGTTCCCGCAGGGTAGCTTCATTAGCCGTTAAGTCTTCCCTTGCGGAATGTTTTCTTTGTCCTTCAATTTTATTCTCAGCTAGGTCTTTAGATTTTGCGAGTTCGATTTTGCTATCGGTAAAGGTTTCTGGCTCAACTTTGCGTATGAAATTCCTTATAGGTACATCGTCCGGCAAGTCATAATTGGCCGCGGCGTCTTTTTCTGCTATAAACTGTTTGACATAACGTTCCGCTCGCTTCTGGCATTTCTTATATAAGCTTGGATCGCTATCATCCGAAAGGCAACAGTAAGCCGCAAACTTGGCTTTTTGTTTGTATTTTTGGTCAAGCCGCGGGCGTGTTTCCTTTTCACGCTCGTAGGACCCTCGATCCCATTCGGCATACTCACTGCTCGAATTGAAGCTCACATCTTGCACTTCAGAAGATCCTTCGGGACTCCGCTGCTGACCCAGATTGGAAGCATTTTGAAACATGGGCTGTAGTTAATCAGAAGGAGGATAGGTTCATAAGTCCAAGTAGCAGCTGAGGCCTTTCTCAACAGCTTACATATGCTTTAAGTATTTGTTGTGCTTTATTTTGCGCAACTTCTTCGAGTAACTAAGCGAGCCTGGTAACCAACTAGCTTTCAGTTAGGTTCTGTGTGTTGTGTGTGTGTGTGTTTTATGTGTTATTTGACACAAATAACACAGACAACAACTTACTCCACAAACTCACAAATAAATTTCATCACAGTAATGACCTTTCGGCACAACCATCAATTGGTTCCAGGGCGATGCCACACACAACAACTGCAACAACTCGGCAGCCAAAAGGGAGCCAGACCCAAACGAATAGCCATGTGCTAGGCCACAAAGCACAGCACAACAAACGCAAATCAATTAGCTGCAGCAACAGGAAAATTCAACAACAACATAAAAAGAGAAAAACTTGAAAAATATGTTGGGAAAAACAATGTTTGACTAGGCGACGCCTGAATGCTCTAGAGAGGGTAGTATAATGAAGGGATGGAAGGAAGAAAATTGCGCTAGGTCAGATGGCTCATTCAAAATATAGCGTCTCCATACCGATGAAAAATCGTGGATACCCTAACAAAGGGCAAACGAAATGTATAGTGGCATCAGTTCGAAAACTTAACATGCCCACACAACGCGCCCGAAAGTGCAGCAAGTAGCATGAGAGAAGGTGCGGGGGAAGGGGGGCCTCGTTCTGAGGAGGTGCTGCTGAAAACTAAAGACCGTTCCGTTACCAGCAACATTAGTGTCACTTAGCAGCTAATTATGCAGCGCTTGTGAATTACTTTTTAATTTGTTGCTGCGCGTGCTCCAAAAGTAAATAAATACAGAAGAGGAGTAGCCCCGAGAGGAGCTGCCGTGTTGCGGCCAACTAAAAAACTCAAGTGGCAGCATTTCTTGAGTGGATCCCAGACAAAAGTTTGGGCCGCGGCAGCCAGCTTGGCTGTCTGATGCTGGCTGCCGGTCTGCCGGTCTGCTGGCTGCTGGCCACTTTCGATTTGGCTCCTTCTGTTCCGCCAAGTCTGCGGCACGTGCTGTGGGCGTTCACTTTAATTTAGCTGCCTACCGTAGGGCACCCGAGGGCACAATGTGCCCGGGCCAGGCCAACAGACGAACCGTAGCTTGCTGCAAAATGGGCGTGGACTTTTGGTTGTGGTCTGCCCATTTTGTGGAAATTATGTTGTTCGTGGAGCTGCAGATGCAGCGGGAAGAAGTGGCACAACTACCTTGTGCAGTAGGTTTAAGTGAGTAGTTGCAAGAAAGTTCCGGAAGCAAATGAAAATAAAGAGCTAAGGATTATAGTTAATCCTTAAAAGCAGTTGGCTTTGGTAAAATGGTAAGTGTCAATTAATTCCACGCTATTCCTCCAACGTACAACTTGTTTGTGTAAGATCTCAATTCTTGGGGCGTTTAATTCCATAGAAAAGGACGCCTCCTGCGCCCTGAACTCCCTCGTGGGTTAGGTGTAGCTGTACCCAGGTGTCTGGCCAGGCGATTGCTGTGAACCAACAGTCGATCGACCTGACATACCATAAAAAATTCGTTAATAAGCGTAATGGTTTATTTTGCATGATTCCTGTAAGCTTCAAGATCTTGATATAAGACACAAGCTCCCGATTTGGTATATTTTCAGAATTCCAAACTCAAAACAAGCTTGACAATCTTTATGGCAAGTTTTAATTTCTTTAATGGCTGCAGCTAATTGACTTCTTTTGAGTGGAATCTTTCTTTAGCTTCCAACTAACTTAACTGGTATTCCTATCGCACCGTATACCTTTTGATCTTCACGCCTTCGCTTGGCACGCTTCGAGCCGCTCAATTCTCTGTGTGTTGCAAGTGTTAATTAGACAAAGCTAATTAAAAATTTTACGCACACTCGCGGTCCAGCGCCAGGCAAACTGACCGCAAAGTATTCCCAATCAGACCGCAACCACGGCAGCTACTAAAAACGTAGTTGCAACCGAGACGGAGACGCACTCCAAAAGCGGCGCAAGACACATTTATTAAAGTCGCTCAGTCGCTCAGTCGGCTCGATTGGATAGCCTGGGTAGCATAAATCGTTCGACTGACATGCGACAAAACGTGCAGGTTACATTTGTGCGGTGCGATTGAAGGAAGGACCAGAGACGAACAGCGATCAACGATCGACGATCGTCGACGGGCTGATGGGTAATTAAAAATTGATCACGTTTAACAAAATGCTACCGAACAATATATCACAATGCCTGGGGCAGGCACGAGAAGCAAGACGCAATGTTGACAAAGTCGCAAAGACGATCGCAGATCGAAGATTGGACATATCGATCGGTTCGGCTGCCACATTAAAGTCAAAGCTACAGGTTACAGAGAGATCTCGCTCTCTCTCTCTCCCTCTCTCTCTTGCAGTATTTTTTCGCTGTCAGTCCATCAATAATTCATTGCGACTGAGTGATCTATTCACCAAACGATCGCCAAGGAGCTGCGGCATTCGAACGCGAGAAAAAAGATATTCCGCTTGTCAGCTACAGCACAAGTGTTTTTTCTTTCCTTGCATGCCAAAACAAAATTGTGCCATAAATACAATAATGATAAGTAAAAAAAAATAAAAAAAAACAGAAAGGAAAGGAGAGTATAAAGAGCGCCAAGACAGCTACAATGAACGCGGTTCCGCTCATTATTATTAGCCGAGTTGAGGAACCCTTCAGAACGGGTGTTGCTTTTTCACAATGAACTTCGGAGCTGACAAAAGGAATGCGAAACCGAATGCGATGGGACCTTTGATTGAAAATTGCCGCTGCAATTTTTGACAGCACTTCAGAAATGTTATTAATGCGTGCAATGCGGTAGGCCAAAAGTGCTTACGTCTCAGTCTTCGTCTCCTTCTAGCAACAGTTAAGCTAATGGACTGCAAACTACTTGGCCCAGTCAAGCTTTAACCCTTGACATGCGCGCGCGCCCGCTCTTTCCTCCCAAAAACATTACGAGGTGTTGACAAAACATAAAGTTCGTGTGAATGCCAACACGTTGTGACAATTGTTTGACAACAATAACAACAACAACAGCACAACTATAAAAGGTCCCCAGTGCAGAGCCACAGCATCATGACTCTCCTCCCACATCTACATAGTACGAGAGCTGGCCCCAGAGCTGAGCTGAGCTGAGCTGAGCTCGGCTCCCAGCTACGTTGCCTCGCAATCATCGATAACATTTTTGCAGTTGTTGTTGCAGTTGTAAAACGTGCAGGCCGCGCGCGAACATTCAAAATATGCAAATGTCACAAGGAGAGCAACAACAATTGGCAAAAGCCACGCAAAAGAATAAAAATAAAATAAAGTTTAAGTTGGATATACCGAATCTTAGATACCCTAAACAATTGCAATCGCTTTCAACATGGTTCAAGCAGTTTTGCTATTCTTCTTTGTGCGCCATCCTTAAACGAGAGGTCAGCTGGCGTACTCTCTGGAGTTCATTTACACAATTGCATTTACACTCTCGAAAGCGATTTCTTTGTTCTCCATCCTAAAACAAGAGATAAGCTGGCGCACTTTACGGAGTTCATTCTCTTGCAGTTACGATCTTGAAATCAATTTTGCTATTATTTTTTGTGCGCCATCCTTAAGCATGAGGTCAGCTGAAGCATTCCCTTCAGATCATTCTCTTGAATTAACAACATCGAACGCGATTATGCTGTTCTTTTTTGTGACCCATCCTTAATCAAGAGGTGATTGGAATTTTCCTTCACAAGAATTCAATAAAATTAATAATCAAGGAATATATTCACGTCCCCAGAGTCAAAGCTACTGACACATGTTTGGTATTCAATCACAAAACACAACGAAAATAATATCAGCAAGAGAAGTGGAATTTGAGTGGCACTCTAGAAAAGGAATGTATATCTTACCAGCTTGAGCTCTTACTTCTTCAGTCTCTGCTTGCCAATTTGATAATATAGTCAAAGTATTTTTCATATTTTAGGGTAGGGTATGCACAACAATCGTCTACTGCAATCATCATCATCATCATCGTCATCGCTGTCGACGTCGACTGCAGCGTCGCTGTGCTGTCGCTGCCTTATCGCCTGGGGCATTCAAAATGTTTGTATAGGAGTCATTGCATATTTTCTGCTGGCTTTTTGAAATTCCGCGAAATGTTGCTTTTGGGCCATAGACGGCCAAATTGAAACTGGCTAATCATATTGACAAGCGCGACAAATCTTAAACAGCTGACAGACATTTCGGTTTCGCTTTTGTGGCAGCAGCTTGTTAAGCAATTAGTCATCGCTCGATAGATACGATACGGGTATATCCCTATATTTATAAAAGATTTCGACCTGACGGACTGAAGCTGCATAGCGTCGGACCAGCAAGCGACAGATTGCCGGTTCAGGTTAAATTCAGGCTTCGATAAAGCGGACTTATAAACCTCCTTAGAAAAAAACTTTATTAGACATAATCGAATACCTATTTTCCACTTATTTTCTCTTAGGGATTGTGACTGAAAGAAACTTGCAAGTGCAAGGTGCATACCTAAATGATGAATTAGATCTTTAATTCCTATTTTGTTATTTTGGAGTTATCTAGTAGCTTATACCTCTGCCTCATCTACCTACATGCCATATGCGCGCAAATTTAGAATACCTGAGCTGTGTTTAAGCTCCTTTATGGTGCTCCCCCGCTTGTATCTGGAACTGTTCTGCTGTTCATCTTGTGCTTGCTCGGGGCAAAAGGAACAAGACGAGAGCAAAGCAAAAGCAAAGGAGAGGAAGAGGCAAAGCCAGAGCGAAACGAAGCGAGGCATATTGATATCGTGCATATTGATCTTGTATGGCGATAAGTGTGGAGTCGTACTCGTATATAAAAATATTTGCTACGTTTGGCTTAAGCCACTTCCATGGAAGTTGTTCGCATAAAAACCAACCAAAAAAAAAAAAGTAAAAATACTGTAAGAGGAGCAACAACAAAGCCCAGTTCCACACGGCTGCAGCAACTGGCATTAGACTCCAGCGTTTTGGCCAGTAGTTGGTACGTTTTGGGGCTAAAATGCTTTTGCGCTGCGGCATCGCAGTTGAACTCGGGGTTGCGCCAATGGGCAAGTGAGCCGGGCCGACCACGCGACTGTGTCTGGTTTTTGAGGGCACATGTGGCCCAACACCAGGCACAGCCTCAGCCCCAGCAACATCAACAGCAACAGCTATAGCTTTGGCATTCTCACACGACCCAAAGCGTTGGTCAGCTGTACGAGCAGAGCGCATGGGCATTGGGCATGGGCTTCGGGCTTGAAAGCTACGGTCTAGGCAGACCGCAACTATAAATTTCATAATGGCAAAACGGGGTAAACGTTTAGCTGGCCGCGACTGGGCTCCTCATGAAGGTCTTTGCATTTCTGCGAATTAATATTCGTGTGATTTTTTATCGTTATTTGATTTCTGCTAAATATATATTCGCCTCACTGTGCGCGCGCGTCCAGACCTTAGAAAGAAGTCATAGTGTCAGCCATAATTGTTATGATTGAGTGCGAGGCAATCGTGCTTTCCATGCGCTTTACAAAAGAAGCTGCGACCTCTCTGTGCTGTGGACACAGCTGCATTAGAAATGGAAATAGAAAGTAAGCACTCTTCAAAGGTGAATCTATAAATTTTAATCAACATGGGAATTCTTTATATCCCTATGAAATTCTAGCATAACTGTTTTTGTTTTAATGAAAATTAAATAGAACGGTAAGCCTTTTAATTCTATAAACTGTCAACGTTCTCCAGAAAATGGCAGAGTAGTTACCATTGCTTTACACGAGTAATTAGTGTTCCAAAGCCGATGCTCAAGCATGTGGCCCATAGTCATTAAGCGGCCTCAACTTTAA